CACACACACACACACACACACGCACATAATGTAAATGAACAGTAATATAAATAATCATAATCTTAAGCTAGATACATACTCAGTATTCTCACTGTAACTCTGTCTTATTCTGACGCATGCTCTAAGGTCATAATATTATGAATAATGGATCGGTCTTTTGTGCGCAAGCTATCCAGTGAAGTTTTTATAGAGAGCAAATAGTGGCAGCCATGACAATGCATGATCTAGGTTACATTCGGTGATTCAAGTCTTGTTTTATGTTCTAGTAAGGTCATACGGCGCTCGCAACTGCATAAAATCATATTTATGGTAAGTTCACGGATGCAATTTTTCTAAAAAATTAGAAAACTTTAGAGGTCTCAAAATGTGCTAGCCATTTTCTGAAACTGCTGAATTCATGCATTTTTATTTCATTTTTGTTTTATTTTATTTTATTTTATTTCAGCGTATTTTATGTTATTTTATTTATTTTCCTTTGGGAGGAGGGTGTTGATGGAGGATGATCCATGATATTGGAGTACATCTAAAGAAGTCTTCCTTCTATCGCATTCCATGATGTTTGCTTCAGTCACCCATGTACAGAGTGACATAGTATATTTTGGTCAAACGTGAGTTTCTCCCCCGGTACCATTCCATCCACGTCGACGACCCCAAAACTTTAGTTTTAGTAAGAGTTTTACGCACTTGCAACACAATAAGGTCATATAAGTGCTGCCTAAAACCTTGTGGTTTCTGCCCAGTTGAAAATGCCTTCAGTCAGCGGCTAAACCAACCCAGACCTGCATCTGTTATGTAATGGTTAGGCGCTTCACCGTCGGAAGAAAAAGATAATTATGAGTTCGATTCCTGTGTTGAGAGAGAACTTTATGGAGCATCTCGGTCTTTTTGTTGGGACGTTGTATCCCTCTTGTTGGAGGGACGTTGTATCCCTCTTGTTGGAGGACGTTGTATCCCTCTTGTTGGAGGGACGTTGTATCCCTCTTGTTGGAGGACGTTGTATCCCTCTTGTTGGAGGGACGTTGTATCCCTCTTGTTG